TTCGCAAATAGTTAAGGATGTGGGCTGTTCTAGTTTTAGGGAAATGCGAAGTTTAGCTCAGAATAGGAAAGAGTGGAGGTACGTGTCCAACCAGTCTTAGGACTGATGACCTTATGATGATGATGATGAGAAACATATGTGCAGCGACTGAACAATTTAACTATCAATATCAATAAAACAAAAATAGTAAGTATTAAGGAATAGTGGACATAGAAAAAAGGAAGAAATATAGAAGCCGTTTAATCGAGAAGTAGAGGTGCTTAATAAGTTCAAACATTTCGACTTTTGTAGAACATATGTATAAGAACGATGGTCGAATTGGAGCAAAATCTTCACAAGTTCGGGAAGAGATACTGCAAAATTTATTAGTTAGATCGATAGTTGTTTATGGATTGAAATATGGGGATGATACGTTTTAAGGAGACCTAAAGCTAATGCACAAACCACAAGCGAGAATATGTAAGATTATTTTGGGAATATCTGAGTTACAGATTAATTATATTAGACTAACTATTGAAAGGGCAATGTAGATATTTGAAATAAGAAATAAGATCAATTCTGAATGACATTATATGAAAGCATGGAAACATAGGCTGATGACTGGGTGTTTAGGATGTATTATTTGGAAAATAAGACAACATGGCATTTAGTGTGTAAAGAAGCAGAAAGAAATTAAAAACAAGAGACTATGAATTTTATTGATGGGTGAAGTGATAATGTAGAAAAGATACAGAGAATTTACTAACCGAAGCTTTAAGGGCTGCCTTAATTAATATCGGAAATACATGATTTTTTCGACTAGACTAAGATAAACCTGAGAGAATGTATTTTGTAATGAAAGAACGTTATAGTTCTTGGTAATTCCCATTAGTATCTTAAAACGCCAAAATTACCTAAGTTATACGACGATGTGAATAAAATGTAAAAAACCCCGCCAAGGGATGTAATAAAAATGTGCATAAATAAATAATATTTGTAAGTGTAATTCGCTCCTTTTATTTAATGACTTATAGTCTTCCTGCTTCGTCAGAAGCGAATAAATACTTAAGAGAAACACAATGTTTACTTTTCTTTGATTTGTTTCAAGTAGAATTGTATTGGATAGACTTCTGACGTTTTAACATAGAATAAATTGAATATAAAAGGAGCAGAGCCAAATTTTAATCAACTTCACGCTCAAATAAGTGTCGTAAATCTTGCTATTTCTGCTAAAGTTCTCCATCAAATTAAATTCCGAGTATGCCAGGAAGTATTGATTTAAGTTAATATTGGACTAACCACCCATTCAGTTCAATTTTTACTTTAAATCTCAATTTGGAATTGTTTAACGAGTAAAATTTCCTTTTACATTTCGAGAAGCAAAATGGTTTGTGATGTAAGACACAAAAAAGTGGTGAAGGAATTATTGACTCTATCTGTCTATTATTAATGTCCTTAATTCAATACTAGAAAATCATACTTTTAAAACAAATAAATATATATTTTATTGTAAAAATATTAATTTTAGAAAAATTATAAGGGTTTTATTCTTAAGTATGAAATTAGTTCAAAGGAGTAGTCATGATTTAACAGAGTCCTCTGGATTAACATAAACACAGATAAAGATAAAAGCCATATCTATCTTTCAAGAGGAATTTCCCTACCAGTCTTGAAGCTTAGTTAAATCCAACTTAATTAATGAATATGCATTGTGTTAATAACCCTCATTTGTTAAGTATAAAATATTTCGATTTACTTCGTGCTTAATGTTTTTAGCAGTACTTTTGTTTTGTTTGTAAGTTAAAAAAGTTGTACTAAGTCATTTACAATAATAATTGCTTAGTTTGTTATTTTTTTACTATTAGATACCTACTTTAAACATTGATTTCTATTAGTGGGCATATTTTTGAAGAAAAACGTTATCAAAATCGACTGCTTTTTACCAAAACATTTTATTTTATTGTAGAAACTAATAGTTCCTGGTATGCAAGAGAAGAAAAAGTAGTAAAAGAGCGAATATAAAGATATGAGACGAAAAATTAGAAGAAGTGGCTGATTATAGATATCTAGGAAGTCAGATAAGTCAGGACGGAAGGAGGAGTAGGGATATAAAGCAGAGGATAGCGCAGGGTCGTGTTGCCTTTAATAAAAAGAAGTCATTTCTATGCTCGCGAACGGTTAATTTAGAAATTTGAAAAAGATTGTTAAAGGTGTGAGTTTAGAGCGCAGCGTTGTACGGGTGCGAAACATGGACAGTGGGCGCGGCGGAAAAGAAAACGTTAGAAGCGTTCCAAATGTGGTGCTAGAAATGAAGAGGTATTAGAAAGAATAGGAGAACAGAGGACTCTATGGAAGTCAATAAAAATAGGCGAGATAGGTTGGTAGGACACCCCAGGCGTGATGGTGTAGTCAGAGACATATTAGAGGCAGAAATAAGAGTTAAGAGGGGTAGAGGTAGACCTAGGTTAGATTACTGTTCGCAAATAGTTAAGGATGTGGGTTGTTCTGATTTTAGGGAAATGCGAAGAATAGGAAAGAGTGGAGGTACGTGTCCAACCAGTCTTAGGACTGACGACCTTATGATGATGAATAGTTCCTTTAAATTATACCTTATAATAGAGGTATCTATTAAAATGCAAGTACTCCAACCCAACATAGCAAGGGTTTAAGCTGTATTCCACCATAATATTTAAATCAAACCTGTCGAAACATTATTTTAATAATTTTACTACATTATGGTAAAAACCGCATTAAAATCAACTACGAAATATACCGATTCTAATTGCCAGGTGTAAGTTGGTCTAATTTGTTATTGGCTCTTAAATTACCGCGAAAAGTGACGACCAATCAAACGCTCCGCCACAGTTTATAAGAATTATGTTTCGCATTTCAGAGTTAGTCACCCTTCGTGTTTAGGAGGGTGTACTTTCCTCCATACTTTTTTTTTGCATAAACATTAATGATTATTGCTATTCATGCCCAATGTGATGATTAATGTATTAAAAAGCAACAGAGCGTCGCATTATATTTTAAATAAAATAAAAATGAATATTATAGATATATGAATATGTAGATTGTATGCGCGTATTTCCTTATAAGGCATAAAGAATTTTTAATACTCTTATTAGAGTCACAATGTCATAATTTACATGATTATTGATATGATATTTATTCCTATAGGTAGATGGAAGAACACAGGAAGCAAAATTTCGTATAAGTGCGGGGGGTGTTGGTAGAAATATATGCGAAGCTCTTGAGAAACTAGGAACAATTCCCACATTCATATCTGCTGTTGGCGATGATGATCGCGGAGACTTCCTTCTTTCTTCCATTGGCAAAAAGTCACGGTTGTATGTGCCTAAATTGAAAAACCAAAGGACCTCGCAGTTTATTGTAGTTCTAGACAATAATGGAGAATGTAAACTTCTTCTCGGAGATGGGGACATACATAAATTAATAACTCCAAAAATGGTAGGTCTCAATTTGAATTTTAATAACATTTTGTATGAAAATTATAAATAATTTACGCGCTTACACTTTAAACTTACACAATTACTGTGTTTATCCATGATATATTTATTATTTATTAAAGGACATATTAATTAAGTACTATATTGAGAAGTAAGTAATTTTACTTCATGATGATAATGCAAATACATATATACATATTTATACTTTGAATCACTGTTGAAATTATTTGATTATCTCCTATTATCTTTTAAAATATGTGATACGTTATCTAGTTGGTTTGAGCTAGAATTTTCTTGTAAACTAATACGTTATATGGTTATATTTTTAGGTACTGGACGCTGAAAAAATAATAAAGGAATCTCCATTGATCGTTTTTGATGGAAATTTATCAAGAGAAACAGTTTCCACCCTCTTACATTTAGCTGAGAAGCACAATATCCCTGGTGAGTAATATTTATGCACTATATTATTTTTCTAAGACAACTAAAGCATAAACAACATGATTTGCTTTATGAGCACTTGTAACGCCCACAGCAAGTATTTAATTAAATTACATAATTTTTAGTAAGTTAGAATTAAAAAGTCCAAATATTTATAAAAGAAAAAAATTTATTCTTATAAATATTTTGTTCACAAAGATGCACAAACTGTCGATAGTATTTCATAATAAATATAAAAATTACAAATAATAACAGTACGCAAAAAGCATCTAATTACAGTGGTATTTTTAAATGCAAACTTCTTATTCTGGTACAAAAATCATATTTTTAGAGAAATAAATGCATTACAATGTTACAATTGCTTTTAAAAACTACAAAAAAATATATATCTTAACCACTTTGTCAATATGGACGGATTATTTAACATAAAAACTGTTATGCCTGTAACAAATGCAAAAATAATTATGGTCCCTGTGCCCCTTACAAAAATTTAATTTAATTTTTGTTCTTCATAACAAACATTCAGTGAAATAAATTTAAATTCAATAACCCAATGAAAATAAATAATTTTTGAAATTTAAAATATAAAAGAAAAAGGTAATTGAAAAAACCGTAAATAATATTATAACAAACGCTCCCTTCAAAACTTCAATTCGTCAGGTTCTTTTTAGAATCCCCTAATTGCTGCAAGCATAACAAAACAGGCCATCTATATAATTTGCGCGTGCTTAAAAGCATCAAAGCCATTAATCTACATTTTTTAAACATACAGTATTAATATAACATAATCATAAACTTAGAACTTAATTGCGCAGAAGGGCTATAAATATAAAAAATATCCGTTTTTATATGTCTGTAATGAAATAAGGTGTTCTACCATGTTGACTGTTGTTCAGGATGCATTTGCATAATTAAATTTCGTGCTTCGCGTCTCTTCTCGTAACTTTGCTTTGCTGCGCGATACAATAAAAGAGCTGCAAATCCGTGGAAAAAGAATGAAATCACAGCCAAACCATAAGACCAGCTGAGATAGTTCCAGTTAGGATACATGAGCCAGTCTCTTCGAAAATGAGAACCACCAAAAACAGCAACAGCAAGAAATAGTAGCACACCTACAGAAAATAATTTTCTATAATATAACTGTACATTGAGATTGTTTAATTTAATAGGACATTGCACAATAGTAACTTACTTGTAATTGCTGTGCAGATAAAGTCTATTGCTGTTAAAATCCATTCATACTGTAGAACAAATTCTAAAGGCCATCGACATAGTTGCAATGCCATTAAGATTTGTGAACCAAAACTTAACAAAAAACCAATTGTAACGAATGCCTGAACAAACATGAGCCATGGTGGTAATAACCATTCTCGAATCACATAGTATTCCTGGCTGAAAATATGATGACACCCATTGAAAAGATGGTCAAATTGATAGTACGGGTAGCGAAAACTATCGAAGCAATACTCCCACAAACCCATGTGCTTGAAACTTGAATAAGTATCATGAAATGACTGGACCCAGTAGGGACTGCAAAATTAAATTTGTTAACAGGCAACAATCTCAACTGTAATAAAAGTTAAATTTAACACAATCCTCTAGACACAATCTAAAACTATTTTTCACAACAGGTATTCTACATTAACAAAATTAGGTACTATTATATCAACAATAACCTACTCCATTACCTGGAAGTTAATTTTTATAAACTATATATTTGCTTTCACATAACATTCTCCTACAATTTAATAGATCTTAAAACCCAAAGCTACACCAAAGAACCAAGAAAGCCCTCAAAAGCTTAATTTAAAACCATTATCGAAAATATTTAGTGTCCATTATAGTAATGTCATGTCAAAACAATGAGTAACACAGTCACTTACCTGCAAAAAGCAATAAGAAGTAATAATCCCGCAATGTACGTTAAAAGTGCTCCATGCACAAGAGTATTAGGTGCTTTAGGATAATCGTTTTTTTGTACGGTCATTTTGAAAATTTAAAAACCACCTGCTAATATTTGTTTACCACAGTACACACCTAAAAATAATAATAAACTGAAACCATTGAAATTAGGTTAAATGCGACCACTGCCCTTCAAACTTCAAACATGTACGCCATCTAATATCTAGATATACGTACTACTCTTTCCTGTGCTTCTCGAATTTTTGGCGGCAATTCTTAAAAACGTTCATTATTTTTGTATGCCTAAACGTAGGAAAATATTCATTATAATGACTAGTTCCTTTATAAATGAAAAAAGAAAAATCATTTCGCGTTTATATTTTTTAAAAAAATATTACAATATCTAATAATTTTTTGAGATGGTTGAAAATAATCTAAACTAAGAGACAGGAAAGTTACATATGCTATTTTAGTACGGCTTCTATGCATTTATATTAACTGTGTTCATAAGGGTTGTGCAAAATTATATAATTATTTACAAAGAATAACTAATTAATACTTGTGCTTGTACATTTCTTAAATCTAGAATTTATTAGGTAAAAACAATGGAATGCTTACAATTCTACAATAAAATTTACTTAATCTCTGTTTGTATTATAGAATATTTACAATAAAAAACATATTCCAAAAAAGGAAGATGATTTATAACAAGAAAAAATTCAGTACAAATTTGGACGGATAAAAATTACAAAAGGTACTACACATAGTAACTTATTACTAATTCACAGGTATTTCTAAGCTTTCACTTCTCTTTCTAATTCAAAGCGCATTTGTGAGTCCTTCATCTCATCCTTTTTCTTCTTTTGAATGTAAGCATCTACAAAAAACAAAGCTGAAGAAACCAAACAGGCAGCAGATCCTATCACTGCAAGGGCAAAAGACCATCCAAAAAAGTTATTATCATGTCCAGGCATCCAGCCCTTCTTATTTGCAGTTGAAGCAAATATTATTACTGCAATGCCACCACAAATACCTGCCACTAACAAAATAATTGCCATCACTGTCACAAGAAGCACAAAACGTTGCATGTCTGGCCCACAACATAAAAAATAAAGCAATGCCAATATTGCTGATATTAGTACGCACACAAAACATACTGTGAAGAAAAATTGAGTAGCTACCATAAAATCAGGTATAAGGAATCCTCTAATTTTATCATATCCTGTCGTGAAAGGGTCGTACACCCACCGACATCCTACAAAAAACCTTCTTTCATAAGGATCTTGGGGATCTGGTAGAGAACGAAAACAATGACTCCAAAGTCCCAACCTGTCCAAATTAGCCCCTGTTATACGGTAATCTGATACTAACCAACTTGGGGTTGCAAAAGCAACAGCAACTAAAACAAGAGCCAATGCGAAAAAGCCCAAGCCTATATTCCCTGCCAGAGAGCGCTTCTTCATATTGCTTGTTTTCTTTTCAATACGAACTTAATACGCACACCAAACACTTCCACGTTTTTCTATATTCTAATTCAACAGCATGGGAATATTCTTAATAGCGTCTCTGCCCTCGATTGCTAAGGACATGAGGTTTACGTTTTGTTTTTTGTTGTGAATTGTTATGACTAACATACAAAACCCTTTTAACTAACGTTTGGCCACGCCTGCAACTGTTACACGCACACGTAATGTTTGCCACACTTTGTAAGAAGCGGCAAAATTTATTCACAACAATATTTAGTAGAAATCGTTAGACCATTAGAGAGCCAAATTTCAATAACATTTTACGACCTAAGTATTAACTGATTGGAAAGAGCAGTTATTCAAATTAAAAATAAATCAATTCGGACACCAATTTCTAATGATGTTTAAGATCGACGGCCTTGTTTACACTTCGATAATTATATTGTTATACTAGCCTTCAAATAAATTTAGAGGCAGGTAGTAAATAAGTTTTTATACTTCCTGATACCTACCGTGATTTGTTTTACGAAAGTGATTGACGAGAACATTCTTTTATTTTGCATTTAGTAATAAGTAAATAGATGGTTAAATAGCTTTTTATATATCACTTCTAACAAATAAGATGGTGGCTTTTGTTTTTCAAAGACGACTTTATTTTACGCTGTCTGAGTGTTAATGAAAAATATAAAATCTGATAGTGCATTTTCGGTCAATTCGAGTTTCTCTTCCAATTTGCTTTATTGAAAATTGAATTGAAAAGATTTACGTACTAAAGCTTGTGCCCCCTTTTTTTGAAAACTAAAATTGTATTTTCAAAATTGTTATAAAGCAAAATGCTGTAGCTTTTTTTGAAGTCATTTCTTATACACCTTATAGATGGGCTTTAATTATTTTTATTGCATGTGTATTAATGTTTGCCAATCTAGCTTGTTATTGCAGATACATATATGGCACGCCTGTATGATGTGTTGCATAATGACTAACGTCTTTTTTAGTGTTGTTTAATGTTTTCTTGTATTTCATACTATTTTCCGCTTCATAGCGATGACAAACTGAACATGGACACACTCATACATGTACGTGTCTGACTTGTGAATTCTGCAATTGTTACTTAAAACGATCATCTTTAATGTCGTCAGTATGAAGAACAATTAGCTACTTTATCTATCCAACGCACTACATAAGCAAGACACATTCTTTCTTATTTATAATGAATAAATGGTCTCTCAGGGTTAACTAGGCGGCAGGTTTCACTTTAATATTACTATAGCTCAAGGCGACTCATTACACAACGTCATTTAACAAACCCTACCACACCTATTAATGGGCCATTTTTTTTTTAATTCTAGTTTAATATTTAAAAAAGAAAAGCACATACTTTGTTTGTTTTTTAATGCGTGAAATTGTCATTCATCTTTTTGCACATTGTAAACCAATCAAATTATTAGGTGCAAAAAAATTTAGCCAAAGTTTTAAAAACTCGATAAAAACTTTATTATGTGTATCTAGGTGACTGAGTAATAAATGCAAAACAAGTTATATAAACGATGATTTATTGAAAACTTAATTTATGGGTATATAATAAACTTTGATCATCAATTTTAAAAAAACGTATTATATTGGCATGCTATACATAAAATACTGAATAAACTATACAAAAAATATGCAGTGGCTCAAAAAGATTCTTTTATTTATTTATGCCAATTTATACAGTATTCCTCTGTAAATTAGTTACCTTCTTATTCTATCTTTGCAACATCAGTGTTAAAATAAAACTATACAAAAACACGTTATAAGTTGTTAATACACATATTTGGACGGATACAGTCAATACTATTTTTACCCTAAATAAAGCTTATGATATAAATATAGTTTAGATTTTGGCAAATTATATCTAGTAAAAAGTGTATCTTTTGCTTTTCTACACTAATTGTTATAAAATTTGTGCTCAAAATTGCAAATAGGCACAATGGTTATATTGTTTTACAATAATTAGTCATTTAACATATTGTCAAGAGCAAACAAATGAATAAAAACAAAATACAATGGTCATATTTACACCAAAAAGGTGTTAATATGATCTCAATATTAAAAGATAACAAAGACTTATTATTTGTAAAGATCATTCAATTTAGGAAGTCTGCCAAAGGTTTAGTAATCATTTTGTTTAATTGCACTTTATTGCATATATAATTAAATATCAGTGTGGGCAGCAGGCTTACGAACATCCATGCCATATTGAGAGCCTTCATCCTCATTTCTCAATTTTCTAAACCGGGCACGACGACCTTCCACCAAAAATAAAGAGCCTGCTGGCAATAAGAGTAGAGAACCAACAACAGCTAAAGCAAATGACCAGCTAAGATCGTTATGTTCCCAGTTGGGCATCCAGTCACGTCTGTCCCCATTTGCACCAAAAATAATAACTGCTATGGTTCCACAAATACCTGTTCATAAAATAGGCATTATTTTTACCAACTTGTGATTATAAACAACATTTTGAATTAATACCTGCTATAATAAGATCAGTTCCAATACTATACAATAGGATAAGGTACTTATCATGATGTCTACTGCAGAAAATGTACATCCATGTTAGGAAGGCAGCAATTAACAACAAAGTCATACACAGAGTAAAGAAAAATTGGGTTGCAATGAAGAATCCTGGTAGAAGAAAATCATCAATAATGTAATATTCCTCCTCAAAAACCCACCAGCAGCCAGTGAAACGATAATCATAAAAATGCCTAATGTCTTCAAACTTTTGAAAACACACTTCCCAAAGTCCTAAAATTTAATATTAGCTTTTACAAATGAGTACCACTCCTATTTTCATTTGTTTACAATGACATACCTATGCGTAAAAATTGGGGATTACTAATTTTTCCATCGTTTACTAGCCAATAAGGGGTGCAAAAGGCAATTAGTATACACAAGAATCCTATTAATGTAACCACTACGGCACAAAGGCCTGTATTCGTTTTTATTTTCATTCTTTAACTTTAAATTCCACTTACAATAAGGTTATGCTTACGACCTCTTGCTCATTCACTTTCAAGTCTATGATCATTCACCATTACAAACATCATAGATAAAAAATATCAAACACAGGGGCGGAGTAGGAATATAAGTATAGATTAACGACTAACATTTTTGTTTCAGTACTTTTTGAACCAACCGATGTACCCACTGCTATAGTACCTTTTCAGACACCATTTTGGAGAAATATTGATATTATTACACCAAATTTGAATGAACTTAAAGAAATTGCGAAATGTTTAGGACTTATAAAGCACTATTCATCATGCAAAATCAATGAAATTAATGCATGTGCCAATTTAGCGCTAGCAGTGGCAAATAAAATTAATACAGTAATTCTAACACTCAGTAACAACGGTTTAATTATTGCTAGAAAGGAGGATTCTACCGAGCCATTGCTTAATTTGTCCTCAAATAAAACAAAATTACCTCGTGCAAGACATTACCCTGCATTGTCTGTGCAGGATTTAGTAAATGTAAGTGGAGCGGGTGATTGTTTAGCTAGTGGTATCATTATTGGCATAATAAAAGGATATTCCGAAGTGGATTGTATAGCAAATGGGCTTTACGCTGCTGTCGATTCACTTAGGTCAGAAAGCGCTATTCCCAACAATTTTTCTAAGATTTTGGACCAAAAACATCCGATAAAGTATACTTCTATTAATTAAAAAACTTTACATTTAAAGTAACTTTATAATTTTTATAGATTTGTATGATTTGTTTTAATTTCATATTTAATATATTTTATAGCTGAGATGTTCAAATGTTTTAATTTCATCTCTGTCTTAAATTTCCCACTACAAGCCTAATTAGAACGCATCAAATAATTATTACTTATCTATTTATTCTACTTTCAATATTTATACCGATATTTCAAAATTTCCCATCTTTTTGCACATTGTAAACCAATCAAATTATTAGGTGCAAAAAAATTTAGCCAAAGTTTTAAAAACTCGATAAAAACTTTATTATGTGTATCTAGGTGACTGAGTAATAAATGCAAAACAAGTTATATAAACGATGATTTATTGAAAACTTAATTTATGGGTATATAATAAACTTTGATCATCAATTTTAAAAAAACGTATTATATTGGCNAATGTTTAAAATTTTTAAAAATTAATTAAAAGCTGCATAAATACACCTAATTTATCGTTATGTATTTACAAACCAACTATTATAATATTACAACAACGATTATGTGATTAAACTACGATTTTGTTGCAACATTTGTGACTTGTTTTAAAACTTCATCTTCACTTAAATTGGATAATGGGGCAGAAACTTCTTTCCCCTTTTCTAAAAAGAAAGTTAGGTGAGTTAATCTATCAACAATACAATTTAATATGATATTGTAAATATAGATCAGTAATGATAAAATATAAGAGCAATTTGAAAGTACATATCTCACCATATCTTGCCCATACTTTGGGTTGGATATCGGAGCATTCCCGAATTAAAATTGGCAATTTTGGATTTGAAGTTTTGATCTTAATATAATGATTCTGAATGAAATTTCTGAAAGGACAAATGCAAATGTGTGTTATGTAATTACATTAGAACTGAAAGCAATATCCATTCACCTAACTCCTTCACTTGTTTTACTTGTTTGGCACAAATGTATCCTCAATTCTTTCAATGCAGCTGAAAATTGACGAGCCATTATTACGTATACGTTATCGTTTTCAATTGTTTATAGTTTTAGAATGCAGAAAAAATATCAGGACTTTCTAGGTTAAATATCAAAATTACAACATGGCTAAAGTACTATAACGTAAACATGTTTGGTAGCATTTTCGTACTTATATTAAATCTTATAATTTCAGTCTTTCAGTATTACGAAATTAATTAGAAATTGTTAGCAACAGTAGCAATCGGCATAAAACTTACTATTTTATAAATTTAGCCCATAATTTGTACCTATAATGTTCATTTACATATGTACAGACCGTTCGATGTTTACGTAGATACAGCGCTTAAATGAAAGATACGAACATATCAAAGTAATAAATCTCTAGGAATTTATTTATTATCTATTTAAATAATTATGTAAAAATGTACCTAAAATCTCCTGGTACCAATGGTTTTAGAGTGTTATTTTAAATAGGTATTATTCACATTATTTTTGCTGAAATATGTAAAATAATTCAAACATAAAAAGGCGCTCGCGAAATAACTCCGAGATGGAAGGTGTTTACCATGTTTTGAAATATCATAAATATGTAAAAAGGTACGTAGAATCTCATCTTGCCAACGGTTTTCGAGTACGGTGTCAAATAGGTATATTGCGGCATTAATCTTTGTTAAAATATGTAAAATAATTCAAACATAAAAAGGCGCTCGCGAAATAACTCCGAGATGGAAGGTGTTTACTATGTTTTGAAATATCATAAATATGTAAAAAAGTACGTAGAATCTCATCTTGCCAACGG